CTCTCTCTCTCTCTCTCTCTCTCTCTCTTGTGTGTGTGTGTGTGTGTGTGTGTGTGTGTGTGTGTGTGTGTGTGTGTGTGTGTCTGTGTGTGTGTGTGTGGGTGTGTGACACAAACTGCCAAAAGGTCGCACCTTGTGCCACTAACGTCGTCCGGGTCACAGGTAGGTGGTGCTCTCCAGCTGTGGCACCCACATTAGTTCACCTAGCCATATACCTTGCACAGCTCTCTCCTGATGACTGTCCCTATATGCACCCAGCACTGCCATCCGGCAACCTAGTGGCCCCATAATGTGAATACCCCACTTGTCCTACCCCACCATATTGCCCATATGTATAGCACTGGGCCTGAATCGACTCCTACCTGGCCTTTGTTCTGGACTGTCCAGATCTGAACTCGATTTGCAGGAGAACAGCGGTCACAGTCCTTGGCCAAGGGGTGCAGAGTGCATGCTCTGGGTCCGAAGTGGCACCTAGGAGCTGCGGCACAGGTCAGTGTCGGGCTTTGGCATCTGGGTAGGTTGTAGTCTCCAGTTATGTCACCCAGGTAAGACCTGGAAGCGAAGTTACACAACCTTCCTTCTGGAGCGTCCAGATCCAAACTCGATCTGCAGTGTCGAAAAGAGGCTGCAGTGCTGGTCCAAGGGGGTCTGGGGTGGCTTTCAGGAGCTGGTGTACGGGTCACCGTCAGGCTATATAATCCTGGTACGTGATACTCTCCAAGCTGTGGTATCTAAGGTGCCACCCAAGAATAATTCTAGACCCTTGGCCTGGGCCCAATTTGCTCGCCTTGAGAAGGATGCTGCAGACAGGGATATCTCGCTGCCTATGACTGTGCCTTGCTACTGCTGTCAAGCCTCCAAAAATCAGTGTCGCCCTCCTCTCACCACATTGCCAAACTTTGCAAATGAAAAAGAAGCTGCCTCAGGGAACCTGCTTCGCTGAAAATCTGGACCTCACAGACAGGCAACAGGTCCTGGGCACAAAGCTTTAAAGCAACAAAAAAATGGATTGATGGAAGCTACCTCACGTGGGCCGTGCTCGAAGCTCAGGCCCAAAAGAAAGGAAATACGAGGGAGACAGTTTCTTGAGCTGAGGTGTTTTCCGGCGACCTCACAGGTCGCTCTCTTTGACCCTGGTTACCAGCAGGCCACCCTTTCCAGGCGGTCTGTTGAATTGTCAATCCAATGGCCGCAGGTTGTTTGTCTGCCTGCAGGGATTGGTCCGATTTATCAGAAGGCAGTGGTGGTTTAAGGCCTACTTCTCCACAACGTAGAATGAGGTCGGTCTCTGGGGACTAAGATGGGTCTGCTGACTCTGCTCCCAGTGGTAGGTTCTCGTCCTTTTCTTTTGACATTACTCCCTCCTTTTCCCTTCTCCTTGCCGAACATCCTGCACTGTGCCTCCTGTGCAAGGGCTGTACTGGCTGTGTTCACACCATAGACATGACTTCCATGGATAATCCTCACTGGCATGCTTGTACTATTGGTCTTGTTTCTAAGAGGAGGTATGTTTATCAACTTTTGCTAATCAGTGAGTGATGGCTACAAGTTTGGTCTACATCTGAAGCTGTTGCTGCATGCCACGTAATTTTATTCTTGGTGGAATTTTGGGTGTGCAGGTGGTCCGGAGGGGAGGCAGTGTTTGAGCTGGGTAAAGTGGGGATCGTGGCCCCTACATTTCCAGTCTTGTTGAAATGTGCCACAAAGGTAACTTTTTGGCGATCTTTTAAGCCTCTTTGCTGTTGAACGTGATACTGGGGATTGATCTGGGAAGGACAACATGAAATGCTCATGTAACTCATGCATGTGAAGGTTCTATGTTCATACATAGGAAAGCCAAGGGATAATGGGTGGAAAATGAACTGATTCGCATGACACACTGTTTGTTTGTGACATATGCAGGCAGTACAGCTGGCAACAGACTCAAATAACAAGGAGCCAGTTCTCAGTGGAATGGGATGTTCCACCTTGGAGGGTGCGTTACCATTTGTGTGAATTGGGAGCTGTGATTGATTGAAGCCACTTGCTCTCAGCATTATAGGTCCTCAGTCCATTTCTGAACCCCACTTTTCAGGAATGCATGCTTGCCATTCAGGTTTGTGCCAAGTTGGCAATTTTGTATTCTGTCATTTCCAAGAGTAAATTGCCGACGGTTGGCCCCTCCTGACCCGTTAGGGGCCGACCGGCCGACTGGTTGATCTGTTGGCTGGCACCCCACAACAGCCTAAGTATTTTTCTTCCTCTCTTCTCCTCCACTGGAGTATTTTGGGACCGATCGACCTGTTGGCTGGCACCAGTTGCAAAGTGCACACGAGCCTTAAGTACTTGTGTTCTTCTTCTTCTCCTCCTCCCCCTCCTCATCCACTACAGTGTTTTGGGAGTGACCTTCTATGCTTTCAAATTCAGCTGAGTATTGCTCAAGTTGTTATTCATAAATCTTTTGCCCCGTCATCCATGACATTGCACAAAATTTAGTTCTTAATTTTCAACAGAGAAATCCTCAGAGAAGCAAGATCTGGATGGTGAATAAATTTGCCTTGGTGTCTCCTACCACCGCACCCAGCTCGATTGACAAGATACGGCTCTCCCCAAAGCTACTTATCTTAATTTGTTTTCAAGTCAAGGATATGCGGGAAACCGTGTTGGACTACGTTTTTCTTTCGTCATCGACAGCGAAAAAATCATAAAGTCAAGATCTGAACGGTGAATAGGGTCGCCTTTGTGTCCTCTGCCACCTCCTGCAGCTCGGTGGACAAGAGACAGGTCGAGTTTGAAGCTTCATCTTGATTAGTTTTGAAATCAAGTATCCACCAGAAATCGTCCAGCACTAGACTTTGCCTCAGTGAAACATTCATGGAATCAAGATCTGAAATAGGACTGCCTTTGCATCCCGTATCATCTCAAGCAGCCTGATTGACAAGAGACAGTGTGAAGCTACTCTCCTTAATTAGTTTTCAAATACTGAAACCCTCCCCTTGGGGAACAGAAGTTTGTCAGTGGATTTGAGTTGTACAAGGTAAGCACAGTTCATCCCTAATCTCAGACTGAAAGAATTCTCAGTCGATGCCCCTCTGCCAATCTGTTGGTGGTCAGCCGACCGGTCTGTGGAAAGGGGTTGCACACTGGTCTACGGTCAGTGTCCTCTGTCGTCTGGTTGTCTACCTCGGTTATTTTCTATTGGCGCATGGTGGAGGCTGTGATGGGGTGTCTGCAATGCTTTGACCCACAACCTGATGTAATTTTACACCTCTTGAGCGTCAAGCACGGATTGTACGACAGAGCAGTTGGATCTGTAAATAATAAATATGTAAAATAATGTGGACATTGGTCGTGTGGCAGTTCGGGAGCAGTGTGTAATTTGCAATTCCGGAGGTCTCACAAAACTTGGCAGAACGTACATCTCGCAGATACATAAATGTCTAGAAATTTATAATTAGCGCATGAAAAACTCCGCACTTGCAGAAAAACAACAAGACCAAACCAAACCAAACAAAAGAAACAAAGTTGGGGGCAAACTGTAATTTTTGTCTGCCTGAGGTCAGAAAATTTATAGCACACTGAACATTCCATTTTCTGTGTTCTATTGTCATTGCATCCGTAGCTAAACCACTAGTACACCCAGGCCTGGCAGCACCGCACTGCGCGGCAAGCTTTGCCGAGCTGTTGGCGAGGCACTTCTTTTCGTTTTTGGCTGGCAGCGCCAGCCATTGTGGTCCGGTAGCCCCAAGCCTCCGAAGTTTTCGTAGGCAATGAAGTCCTGCATGGCTGGGCCCGTGTACTGGTGGTTTAAGTGTATAGACTAACAGAATATGTAGCCCAGTAGTTATTTCTATGTAGCTGAGGCAGACTGCTCTGAGCAACTGGCTGGCTGCGCTTGATGAAAAGGATTACTTTTTGCCTTTCGTTGTGCAGAAATTCAGTGTCTTATCCTGGTCTGCATCTAGACCTTGTCGTCTGGACCATACTATATCCTGGATCCCTACCTTGCCTACAATTGCTTTGCCCTACTCTGGCTGCCTTACTATAAGCCAGTTCTATTTATATTATATTTATTGTGACGAAATTGTGAGCAGCTTCCTCCGCTAAGCAGGTGCCGTCTTTTGTTGGACATCAGTGACTAACATTTAGGCTGATTTAGCTTGAGCTCAGATCGATGACTGAGGCCATGGTCACCAAATATTGTCATTGTGGGCAGTGATCGGTGTTCACGTGTGTGAACAGTCCGTTGCGAATCCTCACAAATATGGTACCTGATCTGCGGGAATGACTAAAGTTAGGCCTGATTGCTGCTGTTGATTGTCTCAAGGTGCAAGTATGATGTTTTCTAAGTTATTGCTATACAGTGTATAGCACTGTATACACTTGTTTCATGTTTACATTGTTTAGTCTTTTCCTGTTAACCCTGCCCCCTCACTCCGGTGTTCTCGGACGTGGTGTGGCCCGTCAGTTTGTGGGTGATATATCTGTTGTCCTTGCACTCTGCCGCAACAAATGTTCATGGCTCAATGTTTGGCAATAACTAGTGACTTGTGCTGATTTCTTGCATTGTCTGTTTGCCACGACAGGTTTGTTTAGGACATTGAACTACATGTTTAAGCAGAATTTCAAGCATTTGCATGACTTCCGGATGGTTGTTGAGCAGAACGTTCAGCAAGATGAAGGAAAGTTGCTGTTCTGTTATACCTTTTTTCTGCGTATTCCTAGAAAGAGTTGTTTTCTCTGCTTCTACGTCTATCGCCATCCTTATATTCTCTGAAGGACACATGCGAGACTCCACCCTGTGTTGGGAAAAGGGTGTGGGCCCAATGAATGGGAGGTGGAAAAGATAAACACATTATGTTTTGTTCTGGGTTGTTCGTTTTGCGCAGCATGTCGTTTGTTTCGGGATTCGTTGTGCCATCTTCTGTGTTCGTATGTAGCATGGCAATTTGGATGGAAATAATACGAAGAAGACACCTCAATATGAGCAACCAGGACACGATCTCGAACCCAGTGGAGCTCACCTCGAAATGGGAAAAGGATGATCTCTGAGGGCATACTCGCACAGGAACTTTTTCTCTACTGATCCCTGGATGTGATTGCGGTCAGAATCATCCACGTCTGGCCGTAATGGCAGTCAGATGCATTTCGGGAAGTACTAGCATGAGTATGCCTTGAGTGTTTTCGTAATTCCGGCGGGTTTTCCTGTTGTCGTCTTGCAAGGCTGCACGCCATTTATTTTGGGACTCGTTCTTTTGTTTTCCCGTTTGTTTGAATAAAAGTACATAGCTCGGGATTCCGATGGAAAGAAGACCAGGAAGGTACTTCACACTGACCAGGTCATGAGCTCGAATCTAGTTGGAGCTCGCCCGATAATGAAAAAAAAAAATTCTGAGCTGTTTTCAAACTGAACACGATGTCTGCTGTGAGATCTTTGCACAGGGAGTGAGTTGAGTTGAGGCAAGGTGTAACACGCACTCACGACCAGACTCCGATGCAGAACTCGACTGGTACGAAGAGGACGCTCGGAGAAGAGTACCAGCAGCAACTCAATGCCGAACTCTCGCTTAATGTCCAAAGACTGAGTACAGCAGAAGATGTCTCACCCGTGTGTGAGACTGGTACATATACCTGGGGACAGCCTAACGGCTAGGCTGGGGTCAGGGGTATGTACGAAATCTGCCAGTACCAGAGGCGTACCGGTAAAAAATTCCAAGGGACAGAAATGTAAAATGTGCCGGTACCGAGGACATAGCAGAGAAAAATAAATGTCCGGTACCAGGCATGAGGTCCAGGGTTCGAGCCCTGTCCAGATCCGTAACACAAGGGGCGTTAGGCTGCCAGTACTAGCAGTGTCACAGCTTAGCACTGTCTGTATCATTTGCCTTTACAACTCATATTGATTCCAGCAATTTCTCATATCTTTCCCTAGGCTTAAACCTCCAGTACATCCGAGCCTCTCTGTATGAGGCGATTCCCACTGTGCGTGCCAAGCTTTGCCGAAACGCCAGCGCAGCGTTTTTGTTTTAGTTTTGTCTGGTGCCACCAACCATTTTGGTCCGGTTGCCCAAGCCTCGATTGTTCCGGAGAGGTTCTGTCGTGGCTCTGAACTTGACTGGGGCCATGTCCTGGTGGTTTAATCTCATCAACTGCCTCTGTTCTTTCTCCATCATGGAGCTCTTTTGCTGCTTTGCAGTTGACAGTACTCCCTCGTCGCATCTGTTTTCTGCAGGGGCATCAAGAAGACAAGAAGTTTCGTTCAAGCTCTGGTGTTTGAATCCTGCGGTTGCATTTCTAGAAGTAGCAGCACTGGCCAGAACAATTATTCTTACCTCTGGGTAAGGTGTTTCGGACCCGTATGTCTAAATATAATCCCCAGTAAAACTCTACTGATCTTGGGCATCGGCTCTTTGTCCCAACTATTTTTTTGCGTGCTTTTCCTTGAAATCGTGCTGTTAGTCAACTTGTGTCATGTGATGGGCTTTAGTCCTGCTGAGGAATTTTCTCGAGAAGTTGCAGCACTGGCCAGAAACAATTATTCTTACCTCTGGCCCTCTGGGTAAGGTGTTCCAGACCCGTGTTATGATCCTGGCAAATTTCGAACTACATATTCATTAGAAAGTACAATGCCGTCCAATTGCAAAAGAAATGAATGAACTTGAGAGGAGCAAGAGGGAAAGAAGAAGAAGAAGAAGAAAGAAAGAAAGAAGTTGATGTACACCAGCATAGACCAATGATAATGCTCTTCTTCTTTGCCAACCACTCTGTTCCTCCTCATCTCCTCGCCTCTTATTCAATCAAGAAATAATAATAATAATGTTGAATGCCTGAACCAGAATCAATGTCCGAGTCCCTCTTCTAGTGCAGGTATCACGTGAGGTCCACCATAGTCATGGCACCCGTCTCCTTCCTCTTCTCGAAGGCCTAGACTATAGCGGACTGCTCGGGCCTTGCCCTGATGTGCAGAAGACAACTCAAGCAGCTATGGCTGCTCTAGCTCAGTCCGCCATGCCTGACTCTACCTCGAAGCTTCTTGGTGTAGCTCTACCTCCGCTGGGGCCTTCTTGCTGCAGCGCCCACCAAGGTGATGAAGATGGCCACCACCATAGCCAAGTTAGTACCTCTGGCGCTCCTCCCTTCCCAGTCCTTGTCTTCCTTCTCTTCGTATCCTTGCTCCCTCCTCAGCAGCTCTGCTCCAGTGAGCGCTCCAACCAGTGTGTCGCCAAACTTGCACACCGACAAGGAGGAGGAGCACCTTGCTCCTCCTGGAGATATAGCAGCCTGCTTGCCTCTTGGCGAGTGACTTCCTAGGCCGCACGGCGTCCAAGCGACCGGTACCTCCTTCCTTTCAGAGGGAAACATCATTGCACTCTGATATTGCCTGTACAGGCCCTACACTCAGACTGGTTGGACTGGTACCCGCCTAGACCTAGCCGACAACTACTGGGCCACTAAAAAATCCCGACCTTTGTCTTCTTTTGCTCGGCCTAGAGTACCCGGCACATCTACCTCTATTTGGTGTGGTACCGGCCTACCTGCTACTTGAGTGTTTTCCGCTGCTCTAAGTGTCCCGGGCCTCTTTCCCCCCCACTTGAGTGTTTTCCCCCGCCTCAATGTCACGGCCACAGGTAAGTACCGGCCCTTCGGGCCTTCCCAACATCCAAGTGCCCTTGCAGGTCACACACACACTCAAGCCGACAAGCACTCAGACAGGCATGCAGACCAGCACTCAATGGCCGTTCTTAAGAGGTAAGGGTTCCTATGGTTCTGCATCATGAACTCTATGCAGTTCCTCACGATGTCAATGTTTAAGGTATGTTTATATCCATCCTGATGATATTCCATACACACAGTTGTGTCTATGTCTTGTGGCTTGCAGCCGCAGTTTTCTCTGTGACCTGGCAAACTGTAAGAATCACTGCATCTGAACTGGGTGGCAATGTATGTTCAGTGGCCGTTCTTAAGAGGGGATTGTTCCTTTGGTTCTGCAATATGAACTGTGCAATTCCCTTGGGACATCCGTTAAAATTGGAACGATACAGAGAAGATTAGCATGACCCCTGTGCAAGGATGACATGCATAAATCGTGATATGGTCAAATGTTTTTCAGAAAAAAAGAGTGATAAAAAAATAAACCTCTAAGATTCTGAACTCCCGAGGGACAATGCCAGTGAACCTCTTGAGGGATAATGCCAATGCATACACAGTTATGATTGGGACCTGACAGAATGAGAATAGTCTCCATGACAACAATGGCCTGACCTCTCGAGGGACAATGCCAATGAACATTTGCAGGACCTTGGCTCCTATGGATTCATTTGCATCTGAACTGGGCACACTGTTCCCCAACCGGATCGAGACCATGCATGTGGTGGACATGAAGAAGCAGGTGAGTTCTCCTCATGAGTTGTGCTTATCATGTTTTATACGCTTGCGAATTTCAGCAGTACATTTCATAGAGCATTTGATACCTGGCTTACAAGGCATTGATTGGACAGCAAGAGGGGTACTGGTATGCACTAGTGCAGGGCTAAGGCCGACTTGATGACTGCTTTGGTTATTCATGACATTCGGAAAATGAATTGCAACTTGCAAACAATTTGGCATCGAAAACAGCAGCACGAAATTGCAGTCTGTACTTTGCAGAGACTTTCTTTTTATATGCAGTTGGCAAGGGGGGGGGAGGCGGCTGTGAGATGTGGACAGGAAATTAATGTTTTCTTTATGTATGCAGGTGGGGCGAGGTTCTGTGCCCCCCCCATCAGTCGGACTGTGACACGAAGACATGAAATATATGTTTTCTTGTCATGCAGCCTGGGCAGGTGCGGGAGACAGAGGGGGGCGGGGGCCCCAGTACAGCTATGACCTATGGCTGTCAGATTGGAAGTGAATACTCATTTCTGGTCTACATGATTGAATGTCAGCTTGCCTTTCTCACGAGTTCCACATGTGGAACCTGTCAGCTTTGACTAGTGAAACAACAAACGCGAGAGGTGTACTGTCCTTTGGCGCAGCCTTGATCTCAGTTGGTGTGTTGGCTTGATTCTCCAAAATGATTTTCAGAGAAATCTGTCTTGGTCAAGTTCCCTCAGTGGAAGTCTGGAGATTTCCTTGTTGGGTGTATCAGAGTTGTGCCATTCCTTCCACTTCATTTGAAGCCCCTCCAGTCTTGCAATCTTCCCTTGCAGCAGCCATAATCGATTGAGCCCCTTGTTTGTCCAAACCAAGGTTGGCACCACGGTTGAAGTGGCAGCTCTTCTCCTCTACACCTCTGAGCGGTCGTAGTCCAGAACTTTGTATTACGGTTCCCTCAGTCAAACAGGTTGGAGATGGTATCCAGAACGAAACACAGGCTCGCATAGCAGCAAGTAGGTGGGAAGGTCGATGTCCATGGGCGTGCGCCTGAGAGAGAGAGACAGAGAGAGAGAGAGAGGGAGAGAGAGAG